AACCGAATGAGCCGGTTCAACCAACTGTCGAAGTTTGCCGAGGATTACCGAGGACTCAACAAGAAACAAATGAGCCGTGGCGAAGTTTGCAGAGGATTACCGAAGATTGTGTGCTGTAGGTGCGAAACTTTTAGGAATCTTATCGAAGTTGTAGGCTAGTCAATATTGCTCAGTCAATCGTATCTGAGGATCTGCGAATGAAACTGTGACCACAAACACCATTAATTTAAGTGAATTATATGGCAATAATCAGCAATATGCTTTCACACAAATAACTTTATTTTTGAATGTTTCAATATGCGTTGACACAAATGACTTATTTGAATTTTTCATTGATACAACATTGCACTGAGTTGTTAGAAAAGAAATGCGTAGAGACGTTATTGCTTGATGAGGTCAGGAACCGATGAATCGGCTTTTTGAACCGGTTCAATGAGCCGATCTGTCCGAAAAGAACCGGTTCGTGGAAATGAATAGGACTTTGCATCACTAACCAAGACACAGGAGACCAGGATACAAGGCATAGAATGCAGTAATGATACATACAAAACTTAGCAAAAAATGACATATAACTGGGCTTTTGTAGAGTGAGCTAACAAGGCTAATGAAACACAGGTGCAAACAATGAGTGCTGATTAGACCAGGCAGAGGATTATGGGAATGAAGTCCTTGATGGAGTGGTGGCAGTAGACTGGGATGGGACAGCTGGTGATCGTGAGAGTGTACTGTGATATGATGCTGTTTTGTCAATTTAGAATTTTTTGTTATTTTGGAAGGTCTGTTGTGCTCACCAAGGCTGCATTTATTTGATGAAAAATAGCAATTTTGTGAAATATTATTACAATTTAAAATATCTGTTTTTTATTTTAATATATTTTGAAATGTAATTTATTCCTGTGATTGCAAAACTGAATATTCAGCATCATTACTCCAATCTTCAGTGTCACATGAATCTTCAGAAATCATTCTAATATGCTGATTTGGTGCTCAAGTGACATTTGTTATTATCAATGTTGAAAATGTTGAAAAAAGCTGTGCTGCTTAATATTTTTTGTGGAAACAGTGATACATTTTTTAGGATTCTATGATGGATAGAAATGTTAAAGGGACGGCATTTATTTGAAATACATATTTTTGTAACAATGTAAAAGTACTGTCACTTTTGATCAAACAAATGCATACTTTCTGAATAAAAGTAAACAATTTCTTTCTGACTTCAAACTAACTTCAAACTTTAGAAAAGTAGTGTACATTCACTCTGGCCATGATATTCTTTTTTAAAAAAAGCCCTTTAATTTCAACAGAAGAAGTAGTCATACAGGTTTGGACTTGAATAAATGTAATTTTTTGATAAAAACTTTAATGTCACTATCTGATAAAATCTCCTCAGTTTAATTCTTGACTTGTATCGCCATGTGCTGAATGTAGCTGTCGCTGAATAAAACACACATTCTTGTGAAGGGAAGCTTCTGTTTAAGGACATGTGGTTTCTCATATGGCCTGTATCTCAAGCGTGATCAAAACAGCTTTCGTTCCTCACGTCATCATCAAATATAAAGGCCCTGTGTGTGAAGAACCTCTCCACACTGATTTGCACAGATATCTTTTCCTGTTTTAACATCTCTTGTGTGGCCTCACATGTGTCTGTAAATTCAAATTCATTTGTACATCATGTTTCATTGACCCATTCTTCTCAATAAAAATTAAATATATGGCCATCCATCATCCAGGGTGTTTCCCTGCTTACGGTCCGCAGTGCTGGGATAGGCTTCAGTAACCTCTGACCCACATAGGGCAAGAGTTTGGAAAATGGATGGATGGTTGGAGACCTATAATTGTACTACAGAAAAAAATAGTCAGGGTAGACCTTGGTTCCTTATATCCTTTTCCTGAGAAGACATTTCAACCTTTAAGTTTAAAATCTTTATTATAGTTGACCCTTGCCTTAATGTATCTTAGTTAACTAAAACAATACTGTTAATTTTTTTTTGTAAACTTAAATACAGCTGAAATAAAATATAAATATTAGATTTTTAAAAAAAATCAATAGGCTAAATAAGTACAAGTTGTACTAAATTACAAAAACTAAAACTGAAAAATAAACTAAAAGCTAAAAAACTAATAAAAATGACAAAGGACCTAATAAATTACAAAAACTTAACCTAAAAGTAAAAGTAAAATGTAAAATATAAAAATACAAGCTAATTTTAAAATATTAATAAATACTATAACAGCATATAAATCATACTAAAATAACACTGGTTTCATTGTGTCCACTCAAGAGCTAAAATATGATGATCAGAATTTTAGTTCAGACTATTATCTTTTGCTAAATGTTTAAAAAAGAGTTTATGTAGCTGTTAAATAATTAATTGGACAAAATCTTGCAATATGGAGAGGAACAGCTTTTCTACATCACATAGTATATATCAACCCAACAAATACATGCTTGTTCCTTAGGTTTTTTCAACAATTAGTTCGAATCTCTTCCTCTGTTCATGCACATGGTTCATGAACAGTCCACAAAGCCTGAGGGGCAAGCATCTTGTTCGCCTGGTCTCTACGGTAACATGGCTTATTTGATCTACTTGCATGGATGCTGTGAATCATGCCATGCTCAGATATCCTGATCTTGTCATACACTAGTGACGTCAGGCCTGTTAACAGCAGAACAGCATAACCCCTGTACAATGTCCAAGCAGGTTAAGCAGAGCACGCAGAAGGTGATGGGAACTCTGACTTTTTAGTGAGCCAGGTCCTTCGGTTTAGCTCAGCTATATATTTTGGCTCCCAAATGGTGCTTCACGTCTAATTCAAAAAATTTAGAAATGGTCTGACCTATGACGTATGTGTTACACATATCACTTAAACTGTAACATTTCCTGAATGGTTGGTGTAAAAACCTTAAATAATGTAAAAACATCAAACATTACTACACATTATCATTGAATATTTTATTTATATTGAACTATCCAAAACACACCCCGATGCAAACACTGACACAAAGCAGCATCCAAAAGTCCTGAAACTGATAGCTCATGTCTTGAATTCCATTGTGATGTTTTTCCAAGGAACAAATTATAATTTAGGTCAGCCAGCCAGCTTTCCATTTCACCTCTCAAAGGCCAGCTGTACCAGAACCTTCACCATCGTCACAAGAAAAAAAAAAAAAAAGCCAGGTGACGCAATATAGTGGTACAATGGAGCTGCTGAGTTATTTTTGTACATTGCATAAAGTAGTAATCTCCTTTTGGTTATGATCTTGGATTCTGTGTTCTTTTGTACATTCTGAGCAAATGCATTTGAGTATACTGGAACATTGTAACCAACAATTGCATAATTCCAAAACATTCATGTTAATCATTCATTGTTCATACATTCAATAACTCATTACTTTTTTTTCATTTTGTATGAAATAAAGTCTAGCTGCATACATTCATAACATAACCCACTGTAAACCATCCCAACATCAACTTATCAGTCCACGCCTGACTTTCACATGATTGAATTTCAAGCAAAAATCCCAAGAAAACTGACCTTTTTGGGAAAATGAGCTTTGTCACAGGAATCAGTCTTGGACATGCTGCTATGAGGAATGACCCTAATGTTAACATTTTCAGTCATATGATTTCAATTAATAAGAAAAAAAAATACAGCTTTAAAAACTTTCCTCAATAAATTATCTTATGACTTTGATCAGGTTTTGCCAACATCATGGGAAGTAAATGTGCTCACAAGGCAATATGAGGAAAATATGACTTAATAAACATTCAAAATAATGATTTAATGTAATATTAATATGCAAAAAAGTTTTGTGTGATGGTTAGATTTTGAATATAAAATGTCCTACAAACAGTACACACAGTATCAATGGGAAGTCACATACAATGTCTGTGTAATTGTGTAGGCTACACCTTTCAAATGAGTAGAATTCTTTGCCATTACCATTTATATTTCACAACAACAAAAACAGCACTAACAATAACAATATTAAATCCAATTATTATTTTCATTATTATTAGGCTATTATTTAAAAGTTTCAAGGAATTTGACGTGTCTAATACAGTTTATGGGGGTCTAGCTTATGTGTTGAGCACGTGAGGTCATATGCTCATAATTCTGACGCTCAAATGTGTCTTTACATTCAGACTAGCAAATCACGAATCAGTTTACGCCGTTTGCATGACTGTAACGCATTACTCAATTACACCCCATAAAAAGGGTGTGACATGTGTAAAACACAATAGAGCGCGTGCTCACAGTCTGACGCTCAAATGTGTCTTTACATTCAGACTAGCAAATCACGAATCAGTTTACGCCGTTTGCATGACTGTAACGCATTACTCAATTACACCCCATAAAAAGGGTGTGACGTGTAAAACACAATAGAGCGCGTGCTCACATGAGCACCTATAAATGCCACGCTGAGTGGGAGAGACATAAGTTGCAACTGAATCTCAGCTCAGAAGCACTACGACAATCTACCTGGGAACCGGTTGCAGTTCTGAAAGAATAGACATCTGATTGCATTTACGACTTTGCTTTTTAAATATATAACTATATTTATAATTTATTCTCTCTTAAATAGTAATTATAAGTGCATTCAATGGAATACCAAAAGGCGGCAGAATTGAACGGTTTGTGCAATGGCAAAATTGTCACGGAGTATCTCTGCCGTAACGGCTTTAGCGAGCTGACAGTCGATACGAAGAAAGTCGCTGTGCAGCACAAAAACGAGACATCCCGGAAAGAGGCGGAGGATGAGTCGCGGTTACCTGCTCTGGAGGCGGCGTACACAACCATCCTGCGAGGTCTGTGAGAGAACACGGACCGGCAGGGGCTCCTCAAACCCCCGCTCCGTGCAGCAAAGGCCATGCAGTTCCTGACCAAAGGCTACCACGAGACTATCTACGGTAAGTATTATTATTATTATGCAGAAAATAATTACATTATCCAATTTCATCTGATTTCTGATATTTCCTTTCAAATATAGGGTTTCCAAACAACGTCTTAGTAAGCAAGTAGAAATCACTTTCACCGGAGGAGGTTACTATAGCAACAGTAGCCACTCTGCGTTGACGCATCCAGCTAGGATAGGCTACTCTTAATTTCTCTTATATTACTCTTTTTATACTCTGCTGTTTATTTCTTTATTATGACTATACACAACACAAATATACCACAGAAATTGAAATATACTACTTCTGTGCTTTGTTTAAAAAGTCTTTAAGATAGCTGGCTGTGTGTCACCAAAAACTAGTCACATAACAATTGTGTGGAGAGTGACTAGTTGATTGTGCTCCCAAAATGACTGACAGATAAAGTAAACCCTCTGAAAGTCATTGGATTATTAGCACATTGGGTATATAAAAAACTTTAACGTAAATATGTTATAAATATGCTAATACTGAAAGTTTGAGTTCTTTTCTAGCTTTTAATATATAGTTCCATTGTTTATTTTATTTAGACCTGATTTTTTTAGACCTGATTTTTAGTTTCCACTGAGCATTTTTAGACTTAAGTCTAAGTCTAGTTCGTAGCTCATCACCAAACTCGGATTTTATCAGTTACATTTATGGGTATGAATGTAGCCAAAATTATGATCACATCATAGTGCTTATCAGTGGGTTATGTTTGGGCAGTCACGTAATACCAAAATTGTTTATTTTATTAAAAAATTAAACAAAAGGGACTATGGATGAAAATTAGCCAGTGTTGGCTAAATCTGGCGCATTTTACATATTCATGTACTATTAATGTGCATTGTCCCTGATTAAATAAATCAATTAAAAATAAATAAATAAATAAAATAGTTTTACCCAGTGGTGTGTCTGACAATTCCACTACATTGGTGAGGTGTTGTATAAAATACTTATACGTCATTCTGGAATTGCTCAATTAGTCTGCAACAGATGCTGAAAGCACCAGCTTCAATAGCCTGATTGGTGTAAAGGACTACTTAAACTAATCACATTTAAGTTGCTATGTATTTGCCTCTCTCCTGAACTGACCTGATTTATGAGAGGGTTTTTAACGCATATTGCTTTCAAAGTTCTTTCATAAACCCTTCCATATTGAAATGTTGTGTGTCCAGTAGCAAAAACACCATCAAAGTTATGTTACATATTAACATATGTGTATCATGTTCCACAGATGTCCTTAATGATGCCATCTTTGATGAAGACCACGAGGAGCTAGTTATTGTGAAAGATATTGACATGTTTTCACTTTGTGAACATCATCTAGTACCATTTTTTGGCAAGGTATGTCTTAGTATCTGCTGATAATTTCAATGAAAGATGCTTTTAGTCACTCATACTTCTTATGTTATGCTTTTTATGTTATGCTTGATGTTGCACCGTTAGGCAAGGCTGTTTCATGGGTTGTAAAGGGATCATTGATGCATGCATTTGTCTGGGCCTGGGAGAGTGTTGAGTGCTGGGAGGTCAATAGGTTATTTTCAATGAGCTGAAGTACATAAGAAATAAATGACCTTATATGAATTAATCTGTAGGTCCACATAGGATATCTGCCAAGTAAAAAGGTTGTTGGCCTCAGTAAGTTTGCAAGGTGAGTATACAACTTGCAAACACACACACAATTTAGTGTGCCAGTCTCAGACGGATGGTAAAGGGCCTTGTTCTCACATCAGAGTGGGTCCGAAAAAGAGAACGTATTAGTTACAAGTGGCTGAGTTCTTCTGTTATCACAGCCAATTCACTTGAGGCTTAGATCCAAAGCCTGGCACAGTATCCTGTCCCATCTGAAAAACGCCAGACTAGCTGACTTCTGGCGCTGAGGAAATCCCCCTCAACTCCCACCTCCACTGCGGGGTGGTGGTGGGAACCATTAACATTGCAATCCTCACAAAATATCATGTGCAGCCTGGTGCTTCCTTTGCCTGAGTAAAATAAACCAGACTTCATGAGACACCATTCACACCCCATTGATATCTATTACTAATCGTATTACAAAATAGTTTAGAATATTTACCATTTGCACTATAGTTATATACATTTGATAAATGTTTATGAGAAAGAGGGTCAGAGCAACACCATATAACATACATACTGAAAAACATACAGGAATATTCTGCTAATATTGTCATTCTTTGATCTTAAGGAAATAGCTACATATTAAATTGGCTGTTTGGTAAGTGTTACATTTTGCTGGAGTGTTTTAACATACTATGAATTTTTGTCCCTCTTTAGGATTGTTGAAATCTACAGTCGCAGACTTCAAGGTAACTATCCTATTATTATCTAGATATAAAAAAAAGGGAGATAGATTTTTTTTAAAGAAATAATACTTTTTTATTCAGCAAGAATGCATTAAATTGTTAAACAGTGACGTTTGTAATGTTACAAAAGATTTCTATTTTTAAAAAAAATTCTGTTCTTTTGAACTTTTCTTTTTTTATTCATCGAATAATCCTCAAAAAACTGATCATGGTTTCCACAAAAATATCGATGAGCCCAACTGTTTTCAACATTGATTGATGTCAGCATATAAGAATGATTTCTGAAGGATCATGTGACACTAAAGTCTGGAGTAATGACTGCTTAAAATTCTGCTTTGCCAACACAGGAATAAATTACATTCTGCCATTTATTAAAATAGAAAACAGTTTTTTAAATTGTAATATTTCACAACATTACTATTTTTACTGTACTATATTTTTGAACAAATAAATGCGTCGTTGGTTAGAGACTTTTTAAAAAAAAAACATAAAAATTTTACCCACCCATAACGTCTGAATGGTAGAATAGCTAACATTACTTATATAGTAACATTATACTCCTGTATAACATTTATTTTCAGCATTAGCATCCCTCAGTCTCAACATTGATTGATGTCAGCATATAAGAATGATTTCTGAAGGATCATGTGACACTAAAGTCTGGAGTAATGACTGCTTAAAATTCTGCTTTGCCAACACAGGAATAAATTACATTCTGCCATTTATTAAAATAGAAAACAGTTTTTTAAATTGCAATATTTCACAACATTACTATTTTTACTGTACTATATTTTTGAACAAATAAATGCGTCCTTGGTTAGAGACTTTTTTAAAAAAAAACATAAAAATTTTACCCACCCATAACGTCTGAATGGTAGAATAGCTAACATTACTTATATAGTAACATTATACTCCTGTATAACATTTATTTTCAGCATTAGCATCCCTCAGTCTCAATAGACTTTACTGCTGAATCCATGCTCGTTTCATATTTGTTGTTTCTTCAGTGTTTTACTGTTAATTTTGTTTATTGCAGTCCAAGAGCGCCTAACAAAGCAAATAGCAATGGCAATCTCTGAGGCCTTGCAGCCTGTCGGTGTGGCAGTTGTCATCGAGGCAACGTAAGTATTTGAAAGACGAAACACAATCATTTGATTAGATTGTGGAAGATTATTTATATACAGTAAACATATACAAAGTATGCAAACCCAAACCTAATACTATAATATATCCTATCCTTCTTTCTCATAAAATTCTGTTTCTTAATATAGTTAAATGCGATTAGACTTCATGTAACTTTAAAGCTCAGAATACAGTACAGTCATTCAGCTGCTTCTTACAGTGGCTGTCATGGTTGATGAATTATTCCTACAATAATGAGCATGAAATTTTGTAGTTTTTAAATGTTATTTGTGACCCGAATGGACGTTTGTTTTTGTGTGGCTGTCATGGTTGATGAATTATTCCTACAATAATGAGCATGACATTTTGTAGTTTTTAAATGTTATTTGTGACCCGAATGGACGTTTGTTTTTGTAGTCACAGGTGTATGGTCATGCGTGGAGTGCAGAAGATGAACAGTCGTACTGTGACCAGTGCCATGCTGGGCGTGTTCAGAGAGGATCCAAAAGCTCGAGAAGAGTTCCTGGCCCTGACCAAAAGCGCACAGTGATCACACTTCCTTCCCTGCTCCGACTCCATCAGTGGGTTTACAGCCAAATATGCCAATGAATATTCTCTACATTTGAAACCCTCCATGGTGCTAAGAGAATCTCACTGAGCCATAGCTGAAGATCTTTCCACCAGCTACTGAGACTTGCATATATAAAATGTGAATATTGAAGGATCAGTGCTACATGAACTACTAGTTTTGAGCAAAAGACCTTGAGAAACTAACACTGAATGGCCAAACATGCACACAGCTGCCTTAAAACAGGTAGAGTTATGTGTAATTTCTATTATCTTACTTCTGTTATTAACAATTACTAAATTAACATATTGCCTCAGACACTTGTCTAACCATATGACTTTTTACAAAATGAAGATATTAGAACTAATTTGTATATAACTTTAAAAGAAAAATTTTTTTTGTGTCATATTCTGATATATTTACTTTGTCATATACTCTGATATATCTGAATATTTAAGAGGTCATAAGCAAAAATTATGAATAATTTATAGTTCTATCAATGAAAGGTTTCTTGTGACATTACTGTGTGGCATAATTTATATTTGGTTACAAATAAACAACATTGCCATTAGGATATTGTCACTTTTTTTTTTTTACATAATATATGGAAGTGAATTGTATAAGAAAACAAATGTCAACTACAACAATAAAGCACCATTATGAAATGTATTTGTCTCTGCTTTCTTATGCAAAAGACTGATTTCTGCAAAATGTTGTCACAATTTTATTTGTCAAGAAATATTTACAGATGTAAAAACAGTCTCTTCGTTGTAATAGCTGTCCCGGACAATTCTTAATTTAACTGATATTAAGGAAATTATATTATACAGTATGTAAGTATTGCTATGTTGTGACTTCTCACACTTAAAATGTGGCAACAAAAAATTAAATAAATTACACATACTGTAAGAGCATCCACAAGTTTCTCTATACAAATCCAATTATGATACTATTATGTGGGTTCAAGAGACATGAAATCCAAAACTATGCAATTACAAATGATCGCTGAAAAAGGAAACAACAAACAAGATCTCCAGAAAACCTCTCCAACAGTGCTGACAAAAAAAAACAGTGGCTGAAGAATAAGAAATGAAAGCAGGCTATAAACATGACTGTACACTGAGCTTTTAGCTGTCTTATACTGGCACGTCACTGTCTATTTGTTTCATATTTACATTAGATTCTGTAATAGTGACGCTGCCTTGGAAACAGTAGAGGAAATATCACTTCAAACAAGATTGATATATTTATATATTTTTTTCATTGTGGGAAGAGGTAACATTTAAAAGTCAAAGTCTAGACTTTGGTAAGGACCAATGGCTAAGTAAGTAAAAACTTATTTGTATTAAATGGCCTAACCAATGTCATCATGTTTGGTAGTATTAAAATGAGAAATTATTTACTTAAAAAAAAGTTCCAAATGAATAAGAACATTTACAAAACATGTTTCCCAGCAAATGTACTCAAGGTAGGCATCTACATTGTCCAAACAGTACAAGCCAATATATTGCTCTAAGGTTGAGAAAAATTAAGAGAAAAATACCACTGACATATTTTCATTTAAATAGTCATAAACTAGTGCACTCCTTTCGCAACATTGCCACAACACGCCGCAAACTTAACTCTTTTGTGAACTTAAATGATAATTCTCAACACTTGGAAGAGTCAACACAGTCATCCACAAACATTCCCTTCTCAGCTAAAGACAGATCTCCAGCAACAAACACTAAATCAAACTGAGGTCTGTTTGTAGTTCTTGGTATCAAGAACCTTCTTCCCACACATGGCACAAATTCCTGCAAAAGTAAAAAAAAGAGGGGTGGTGACTGGTGAGAACATATAGATGTGTGACAGAAACAAAAGAGCATCTAAGCATCCCTCACTATCTGTCTCACCTTTTTTGTAAGCACATCCCTGGCAGTAATGTGAACCAGACTGATGGACAGAGCTTTTGCATATTCTGCATGTGGCAAATCCAGATCTCCCATAAGGATCAAACCTGTCAAAATTGTATACATATTTTCAGCACGTCATCATAACTCTCATATTTACAAGACTATGATGATGAAGCATAAAATTCCATGCGACAAACCTGGCTTTTTTTGAAGTCAGCATTTTATTTTCATTTAGCTTTCGACCACCACTCTCTGAAACAAAAAAATTTTCAGGTCAGTATTCCTTGTTGACGAAGCATAAATACAAATATATAAAAGGGTAACAGACATAAAACATTATTAAACCTTTAAAACAATTACCTGTTGTATTTCTAGCCCCATCTTTCCAGGTATCAGGCGTGATGACTCGCCCCAGTTTCTTCTCGCCTGCGGAGGACATCAAAACATACGTGACTCACAGACGTCCGACATATTTCATGTTTGATTGTTGTCATATTCATGTTTATCATCGTCGAGATAAAAAAAAAACTGCAAGAGACGTTCATATATATATATATATATATATATATATATATAGCACACAGTTTTGTTGTTTCTTCCGCAGATCTTGCTAGCGAGCCAAAGCTACTGAATATTGCACGAACTCCAATATTAATGACGTAGACACATTGGAGTAAAACAAATAATCCTTTGATATACAACATGATTTATAATGTAACTACTTACACTTCTCGCAAACCATCTTCAAATGTGTCAGAAAACCGTAACTAACACGTCTAGATAGTTCTCAGTTGTTGTGAAAATGAAGCTGCTTCTTCTTCTTCTTTGGTGTTTATTGGCGGTTTGCAACCTAACTGACTGGTCCATTACCGCCACCGACTGGAATAAAGTATGGATCAGGATTTTGCTTGTAGGACAAAATAAACCATAAAATCCAATCAAAACAAATAAATAAACTAGAAAAAATAAATAAATAAAAAAAAAACACTATATTCTTTTATATGAGTCGATTTAACCAAATTATAGTGACAAAAAAATCCCAATGACATGATTCCCTACTATAATCCCCTGTCTTGGTTTTGGGTTTTCTTCTTCTTTAGATTGGTGGCTGACAACCAATTTTAAAGGTGCATTATCGCCATATACCAGACTGGAGTGTGTAGCAGTATATGACAAACAAGGGAACTAATTATATTCTTTCCATCAATCCTGTATTTTTTTAGGTAAATCATGAGATGTTTGACCACATTCCAAGTACTTCCTTCTAAAAGCTTCTGAACATTAACATTTACAATGTCTTTCTTTAGCATTTGAAACATTTCCCTTCTTTCCTCCTCATAT